GCTCCAGGCCCCCGGACCAGCGCCGCATTCCGCGCGCGGGCGGAACGCGGAGCGGCGAAACGCGAGATGTGCTTCATTTGTCGTTAAGTAATCCAGCACAAGGGCTGGGACGTTTCCTGGCGGAATTGCCAAGTTAAATTTACTGTCATCAACCATTCATGGTGGACTGTTTTGATTGGCCATTCTCTGCGAGCCGTTCCGCTCCCACCCGTTTCATTTTAAACAAACTCCATCCTTCCGCCTGCCTCCTTGTCTCTGCTTCTCTCTCTCTCTCTCTCTCTCTCTCTCTCTCTCTCTCTCTCTCGTCGGCGCACCCATCAGTGTCTGCTTCATTTGCGCCCATTCAGTGGCAAACGCAACCAGAGTCGTCATTCCACTCGGGCCGGGATGTAAAGCACCTTGAGGAGAGCGGCTGCTTTCCAAACCCAAGCCCACCGAGCCTCGGCGACGGGCCCCCAGCCCAGCTGGGCTAACCCACCTGCCGCATCTGAACTCGCACTTTTGACATGGAGGGACTATCGCAACCGTTGTTCGTACCTTCCTAGTAAAGTCACAGACCAGAGCAAGACCCTTGCAATTTCTGCAAAGATTCAGAAATTGTTTCCAAGATTGGAGACAAATTTGTTTCGAAAGCGGACTCTGGTTTGTAAAAATATAAGAAAGATCGCTGTTTTAGATTGACAGCTTTCTTTTTTGCTGGGATTTGCCTTTGAACTGATAAACCAAGTGTGCAACTGCTCAACACTTATAAGTGTGCAACCGCAGTCAAATACCGGTACTTGCAACACTCTCAGCCCGTTACTGACACTTTGCAAATACACAATGAACTTGCTTATACAGCAGTAATACTCACAAAATTGCACGTACACTGTTAAAAAAATCCTACAGGAAATTCTACAGTTTGCCCTGTCAATTTGTCGCTAGGGTCGCGACTGTAATTTTTGAATACAGTCCTTTCCGTACAGAATGTACTGTTACTTCGCAAACCGCCTTTTTGGTCAACACAGCACTTGACTTTAACATTGAAGTACAGCCCAAATCAGAGCAGTCTGACCTGTACATAAAATATACAGGACGGACCGTAGTCAAACTGTAATTCCTTACAGCATTTTTAACAGTGTAATCCTGTGGACAATCAATAAACTCTCTCGCCACTCGGTCACTCCGTGTTTGGCCAGCCCAGCGTAAACAAGTGGTTGTTTTTATCCTTCTCCATCGTTCAACCTTCACATGAGTATTCACTGAAAACACTAGATTCGGAACACACATATA